GAAACGCATTTTTATACCAAATTTTTTTTCATGGGGAGGATGCTTTAAAAAAAAGAAGCAACTTGTACATGTAAAAAGCGCCGAAAAAGTTAACTATATTTTTGACATATACCACGCTTAATAGAAAAGCTATTTTGATATACAAAACTTGCATTTTTAAGTGCGTTTTCATGCATCTTTTATGATGAAAGTAGTTGGTCATTGTGTTTTCTGAGTGGATCTGTAAACGCGTTTTCAGGAATACTTGTCTGCTTGTGTTATAATGAATTTATACGAAATCTAAATAGTTTTAAGAGTTCACCCGTAAAGGATGTCAAATCAAAAATCGCTTTTTCTTGGTCCTCTTGCCCCAATTAATACAGAATGTTCTGAAAGTCTGCCGGAAAATAAAACCTGAATAAGTATGAAGCAGTTATCAAAAATGATTTTCTAGTCACATTCCATTGAATAAGTGGCCTCTCTATCATGCTCGAATATAACTTTCCAAAAATAGGTCTAACTTCTCTCTCTCTCTCTTTTCCATTTCTCCTTGTACTTGCAGGAATGGATAAACCATTTCTCTTAGAATTTTAACCATTTTTGCTCGTAAAAAAAGACTTCTGCTGGTACATACCGTAAGATGAAAAAAAATAAATATCAATTTCTCCTTGTATGTTTTCCATTTCTGCTTATAGATCGATAAATGGATGAAGCATTTCTCTTAGAATTTTAACCCTTTCTGCTCGAAAAAATCCATTTCTGCTTGAACATACCCCTAAGATGAAAAAAAATAAATATTCATTTCTCCTTGTATGTTTTCCATTTCTGCTTATAGATGGAGAAATGGATGAAGTATTTCTCTTAGAATTTTAACCATTTCTGCTGGAAAAAATCCATTTCTGCTTGAACATACCCTTAAGATGATAAAAATAGATATTCATTTCTCCTTGTATGTTTTCCATTTCTGCTTGTCGGTCGAGAAATGGATGAAGCATTTCTCTTCGAATTTTAACCATTTCTGCTGGAAAAAATCCATTTCTGCTTAAACATACCCCTAAGATGAAAAAAAATAAATATTGATTTCTCCTTGTATGTTTTCCATTTCTGCTTATAGATGGAGAAGTGGATGAAGTATTTCTCTTAGAATTTTAACCATTTCTGCTGGAAAAAATTCATTTCTCCTTAAACATACCCCTAAGATGAAAAGAATAAATATTGATTTCTCCTTGTATGTTTTCCATTTCTGCTTATAGATCGAGAAATGGATGAACAATTTCTCGTTGAATTTTGGATCAGTATAATGGTTGCGAGTGTATTAAGGAAGCATTTCGTCTTGCCTTTTTGGGGGTGAAGCATTTCTACTGTAAATGGAACAATTTCTCGATTTTGTGGGATATCGTCCAGCCCTCCCTTCGCATGGAATCGAACCATGCATCTCCTGCTTTCCGGGCAGTCGTATTAACCACTGTACTAGAAAGGAGTGTATCTTATTCTGTTTGTTTCGTCTTATGAATGAAGGGGAACACTTCAGTTCATAACATTTTTGTAGGACAGATCCTTTAATAACCTAAGGAGTCGATATCTATGGCGCACAAATTTTCAGCATCATAGGCTATTTATTTGAAATTTTCGCCTCACACGACCTCCAGGAACCAACTTTCCCAAAAGCTGGATCTCTGTGCGACATAGGTTACTCTTGATATTCGTTTTCCCAAAAACTCGATTCTTATTGGTTTCGGGGCAACCAATCAGATTTTGAGGTGATTGGATCTCTAATTCGAACTCATCGCCCTCGAAAACCTGTAGTTGCATGTTTTTCTGTGTGTTCATATAGTACTGGTCAATAATACTTCTATAGTACAGAATACTGCAATCTGATTGGCCAGTAACATAGGTATGCTTTTTGAGAGCAAAGGAGCAATTCTTTTTGAAAAAAAGTAGGTGTTGACCTTCTCCTGGGTGAAAGGAGAATTCCTGAAAAGTTTGATTGCATTCGCTCGTACGATGTGAAAATCCATAAAGAACAGACAGACACATAAACATTCTTCTTTATCTATAAGATCAAATTCTATAGATCTGCCTGAATTGTCCTATGACGTGAAAAACATCCTCAAAGTTCTCCAACAGCAAGGATTATATTTGACATCTTCCTAACAAGATGCAAATAGAAACTTCTCAAGATTTTTCCAGTTTAGGAGTTTCACATAGTTCTTCTTGTCTGATGTTCATGCAAATGATCATCCTACAAAAAGATTCTGCATTCTCGCAGTTTCGAATAAAATCCTCAGATCTCTATGTTTTTCTAGCAAAAGCTTTCATAGAATTAGCATTACTCTTTCTTCGAGGACCTTCTTACAACAATCTCCAGGTGTTGTCTTTATGATCAAAAAGATCTTGGCAAAAACTAAAAGTGACATAGATGTCAGAATTGTTACGAAATCCTTTTTTCTCATAGAAAACTAGGAAAAGACTTCTGAATTTTTTTCTGCGGAACAAGCATTCTCAAAGACGAATGTCGTATTTATAGCGCTTACTCCCACCAGAGACGGAATCCCTTAGACAACGATGATTCTTTTTCTTTTTTGTTCATTGTAGTAATTCCAAATATTCCAGTCGATGCCCGATGGGAACAAAATGGAGTCACCGTTGCTGGAGGTCATGGATATGGCAATGCCACCAATCAACTCATGGGCCCTTCGAGTCTCTTCGTTGATGATGATCAAACGATGATCATCGCTGACGCCTACAATGGTCGTATCATCCAATGGAAGATGGGTGATACAAATGGACAAGTAGTAGCTGGTGGCAATGGCAAAGGAAATCGATTGGATCAATTGAATGGTCCAACCGATGTGTTGATCGACAAAGAGACGGATTATCTCATTATTTGTGACTGGATGAATGTGCGAGTCGTACGATGGTCTCGTCGTAGTAGCACAACTCAAGGAGAAATCCTCATCGACAACATCAGTTGTCGGGGATTGGCTATGGATGATCAGAGGTACCTCTACATCTCTGACACCAACAAACATGAAGTAAGACGATATCAAATAGGAGACAAGAATGGAACTATCGTGGCTGGTGGCAATGGCAATGGTACTGGTCTGGATCAACTCAACGTTCCGACCTATATCTTTGTCGATCACCAACAGACTGTCTACGTGTCAGACAGCGGCAATAATCGTGTGATGAAATGGAATAAAGGTGCAAAAGAAGGAATTGTCGTCGCTGGAGGTCAAGGCTATGGGGATGCTCTGACACAACTGACGAATCCTAATGGACTGTTCGTCGATACATTGGGTACCATCTATGTGACAGACTTGTGGAATCATCGAGTGATGCGTTGGCCTAAAGGAGCGAAACAGGGCACTGCCATTACGGGTGGAAATGGTCAAGGAGCAGGAGCAAATCAGTTCCACTATCCCTTCGGTTTGTCCTTCGATCGCCATGGCAATCTCTACGTCGTCGATTATTTGAATGGTCGCGTTCAACGCTTTTCAATCGAATAGACTCAAAACGATGGATTATTTTTTTTTGCGTTCCTTTTCTGTTAAATAAATCACATTGAATTGATGAAATGAATGTCTATTCTATTCGTGCGCGCGCGACCAGGAGCCATCCTGGTGGAGCCGTGGCGAGCGTAACGCTCATGCACGCACGGGACAGTCTCAAACCATTCATATCCCTCCCACTCGAGAAATATGTCAATGAGTCTGGGGGGCCCAGTCGTGTGCCCCAGACACCAAGACAGTTCCTGGCCGGGCTTTCAGGGACTACCCGGAAGTCTTTCATACCCATGGAACCACCAAACGCATTTTTAACGCAGCTGGATGCGTTTTTGTGAAAAATGTGAGCGTTTGCACGCGTTTTGTGTCAAACCAGGGTTAAAACGCGGATAGACGCATCGAATAGTGCCATCCTTAAACGCGTTTAAAGAATTTTAACAGTTTGTTCGCGTTTACTATAATAAACGCGTACAAGTGCGTTGAAATTCTAATTTATAATGCGTTGAAATGCGTCCATGTCTTTTCAGGCGTTGAGTTAATGTTGAAAAAGGAAAAGAAAATATTTGTCATTTAATGAATGCTTGCTGACTGGCAGGTTTCATAAAACGCGTTTCCGTACATACTTCTATGAATGCATTCCATTCACAGAAACGCAATCAGATGCATATTTGTTTTTGGAACGCAGCAGGAAGCACGGTTACAAATCTATTTTATTAAGTCTAGATAGGTAAGTAAGAAAGAAAGCTGCTTATAATAGAAAATATGAACATAAGTCGGGCAAGATACATCTTCACTAAAATACGGTCAATATTGGGGAAAATGCTTAGCGCAGTATTATTGTATCGTATAGATTCAGTAGCTACATACTAACAGAAAGAAATTGCATTCAATCTAGTTGAGTTGGTATGCATATTTTTGTATTAAGTTAGTTGAACAATAACAATAGAAAAAAAATATATCTGCGAACAAATCTTTATCATCAATGTTTCAAGAAGGTAAATTCGATGGTTTTAGTTGAAGTTTTTCGTTACTAAATAGTAGCACGTAATTATTTCATAATTTGATGATTTCTATCTATAGCAATCTGAAATGTCACAAATCGACTTCTGCCTAGAATAAAAATCTAGATAGTGGATATTATAAGAAATATTGCGCATCTATTCTTATCAACTCTAGAATTATTCGAGGATATTCGTTACACTAGATACTATCAGTTAGTTTTTGACATTCTCATAAAGATTTGGCCGAGTTACGTTTGATTTAATAGATTATTATACGAATGAATACTCCTGTCATGATGAACTGCCATTAATATACCTGTCATCACAAATATTTCAGTATAACCAAAATCGTGCGGTTCATTCTAGCTTAATTTATAAAATGTATGCCAATGCACACACAGCAGATTATTATCGACCGCTAAGTTTTCGTCATCAATCCCATCATCTGGTTTTTGAAGAGGAAAACAATTTCTATGAACAGGTTATTTTACTTTGAATTACTTTATTTCGCTTATTATGAAGATTCAACTAAATTTGGAAATCGAAAAAATATATATTGTTTTGACTGTTTTTCAAACACATGAATAATTTTCTCAATAATTTGTTCCGGTTTGATGTACATGTACATATTGTACGATTCTAGATTACCAAAAAGAACGTTTTTGCAAGTTATAATATCTCCATTTATATTAATATCAAGATATGAGTTAATGGTCACTGGCTGCATTTGACATAAGTATGAACATCCTTTTGTGCAGTTGATACGAATAATACGACGTATGAAACCTAATCGTAATTTACAATTAACAACAAATAATATACAAGAATCAGTAAATTTAGATGCTTCATGACTTGATGAAGTAGTAAACCGATTAGAGCCAACCTAAAATAGAATTCATTGTTAGTTCATCATTATATGATGCAGACTTACATAGCATGTTTTAAATAGTTCAATATTATTATTGTTTATTGATTCTTGTATTTGCTTCAATGCAACAGGATCAGCATCTCGAGTACAAACGCGTACTTGAATTTTAATAGTTTCTGATCGAGAATCACATATAACTGTTCGTTTAGTTCTTTGTATATTTTCTATAAAGCCGCGTAATGAAAGATTAAAATCAGATTGTTCAGCTTCAATGCATGCTTCACGTAATATTCGGATATTGTTTTCAATTTCAGTGCCATGACGTCGAGTAGCATGAATTGAACCTATTAGTGTTCCTAAATAAAATAGGAAAAAGATCCGTTTAGTTCTTTATTTCACAATAATTTGATATTCCCACCCAATACACTTTCAAAGTTGAAAGTGCTATAATTACTACTTGAACCACATTCACTCACACTAGCCGAAAAATGATGAAGACTGTGTACGCACTGTCCATTGTGTCGTGGTGTATACAAAACAGGAAATAGACGAAGAAATCGCTCATACAATACTCGAATTAATTCAACTTGTTCTCTATTGATTGATCGTGATTCAACAAGATGGGTAGCAATAACGAGAAGCAGAAAATGATTATAATACTTTGTAGATAAAGAGGATTTAAATGCTACAAAGCCAAACAATAAGAGAGATCTAAACTCGTTGCCTTTGTAGACATGAAAGGGTGTGGGTGTGGGTGTGGGTGGGTGTAGGTGTGTGGGTGGGTGTGGGTGTGGGTGGGTGTAGGTGTGTGGGTGGGTGTGGGTGTGGGTGTGGGTGTGGGTGGGTGTAGGTGTGGGTGTGGGTGTGTGGGTGGGTGTGGGTGTGGGTGTGGTTGTGGGTGTGGATGTGGGTGTGTGGATGCAAATCTCTGCCTAGTCGCACGCCAATGCACGCCCACATCCATACACGTCCACCCTCACCCACACCCACACCCACACCCACCCACACCCACACCCGCACTCACACCCACTCACTCCCACACCCACACCCTCTTTTTCTTGAAATATCTCGTTTATCGACATTGAAATGTTGTAAAATTAAATATCAAATAAGAGATTATGGACGATTATTGTTTTTTGTTTTACTGAGTATAGTACTAGTTCAATAGAGTATTTAATGATAAATGGCCCTTCTTCATTTAATGCATTCCATAATTAAACTTGACGGGTGAAGGACACTTCGTATCACCTCATTCCGAACTTCGGGCATGCGTCCGGATGTTCGGAAACGAATTTTTCCTTGACCGGAGTTCGTAAACATTCGCGGACAGAAGATCGTAATAGAAAAGCAAGGAAATTGGGATGGTTTGACCGGATGTTCGGAATAGAATATTTCTTAATATATCTGATGCAGGTCCGGAGATCGTAATGAATAAGGTCAGATGTTCGGAATAATGCATTTTACAAAAAGAAACAACCGGATGACCAGAATAACATTGACCGGAACTTCGTAAAAAAAAGATTCCCTGGAAGATCGTAACAGATATAAAGGCTTGTATTTCTGTTTTTCTTTACAAGAATAGTATTCATTTACTTATTACAGTAAAATCTCTCTAAAATGAACACTCACGGGACTTTATAAAAAGTGTTCATTAAAGGAGGTGTTCGTCTAATGGGGGTTTCACATTGAATAAAGTTTCACATGTATACGGTGTAGGGTGAGTGTAGACAAATGATAACTATGCACCTTTTATATTAAAAGTCTATTACAACTAATGTCAAATAAAAAGGTACCTTTTTTAACTACTACGCATATTTATTCAATTATCATGTAACAAAGTAAACATTTCGAAAGTTGCATTTTTTGGCTGATTTTTCATTTTGTTCGTAACTTTCCATGTATTCTGCCTTGCGTTTGAAGTTTGATACGCTACCAATGGAAATTTCGTACTTCTCAGCAAGTGTACGATATGAAGTACTATTCTCTTCATTTTCACAAATTAATTGCACTTTTTGAGATAAAGTTAATGTGTGTTTTGTCGCCATTTTACAATCGAAAATAGAATTGTGCGTTATTCTCTTACACTGAATCGATTAATTCATTGCGGACTATTCATTTTGATTGTTGTTTTTGTTTCATACATATGACAAAGCTTGTTACGATGAACTGATCGTCGAAACTTGACCTATCATCTCTTCATTACGTACAGTGTATTTTTTTATCTTCTTATTTCATATACGGACGCACCGTTCGTCACTGTACGTTCACTATACAGAGGATTTTTCTACAGAAAGGACCGAAAAAAGCGTTCATTGTCCAGAGTTGGGAGGTGTCCATCTTGCAGAGGTCTATTTACGGCAAAAATCGATCGGAGAGACTGGAATGTCTGTTCACACCAGAGGTGTTCATTATAGAGAGGTGTTCATTAATAGAGGTTTTACTGTATATTTTTCTTTTCAATTTTCAGTCCTACTACGTCAAGTGATGCTAAACCAGTTAAAGGCACATATGGTGGTGCAAGAAATAAGCGTATGAAAAAATAACTATTGAAAATTTTGCTCTGTACATTTCATGTTCTTTCTTATGATATTATTGCTCTACATTTACTATAAATTAGATTTAAAAGTAAAATAAAATATTTGTTCTTCTTTTTTTCTTTAATTGGAATTAAAATAGTAAAAAGACCAGCAATCTTGACTGTTGCATTTATCAAGATATCTTTAATGCACCATCTTAAACTGTAAAACAAATGTGTCCCTTCATATTCTCTCAAAGTTGAGTAAACTTAAATATAGTTACGAATATCCTACCATTTTCCTTCCGAACATCCTGTAGTTTTCATTACGACCTTCATGTATTTATCATTACGAACTTCCGGACTGTTTCATTTCGATCTTCAGTCAAATTTTCGCTGTTCAACCACTAAGAAACAGTTGTCAGACCTCGTTACGATCTTCCGGTCACATGTCGTTACGAGCATCATGGTTTTTCCTCGTATTTTGTCATTCCGAACACCCTGTCTTTTTCTTAAGTCCGAAGATCGTAACGGACTACTTCAACCGGAGTTCGTAGTAAACAGGTGAGACGAAGTGTCCATTTCCCAACTTGACCACGTATGTTTTGATATATTTAAGAAAATTATCAAAGAATTTGTTCATTATGTTCAAATTTTACACTTTACGATGTATTATGATGAAGCATATTTAGATGCTAAACAATGGCAACAATTAATCACATATCTCATATGCCATATTCACGTGTGCTTAATATTCATTGTCAGGATTTTCTAGGAAATAATTTTTCGTTTTGGGCTGAAAAATAAATGATCTTTTGCACATCAACATGAACGAAGACGATGGACTATATAGTAAATTTGTGTATTAGACTGGCCCACTTCGGTAAATAGAAATTAATCTACTTAGGCCAGTCCAAAAGTACTTGCGGAGATATATCAATTCCTTATAGAAAGCACTGAGAAACTTTTTTTCTATACAGGCTGATAGAGAAAAGAAAGCTCTATTTTTCTATGTTATTTGATCATACTTTAACTAATATCGCGATAATAAATTTTTGATAAGACTTTTTTCGTTAACATGTTTGCTCGTTGTACTAGTCCACAATGAGTCAGATGAGTTAGTTCTTTTAGTCCACTAATACATTGTATTAACAACCAAAATATGCCATAATATGCAGCGTGAAAAGCTCTACAATTTCCATAAGACCACTTATTTTCTAGTTGTACTTTTTGTTTTCAAAATGGACAAAGTTTTGAGTGATCGAATTTTGACCGTTGTAGAAACTGATCGTATAGAATTTTCCTTTTTTTCAAAACAATTACAATAAACTTTACTATGTAGATTGTAGAGCTTTTCACGCTGCATCTTCTAGTGTATTTTGTTTTTCTTTTAATAAAGTATATTTGATGATAATGATTAGATTACAAAAAGTGAATTCGTCGTGTATCGAAAACATTATCTTTTTTCCATGGTCGAAATTTGATCGCTCAAGATTTAGTCTATTTTAAGAACAAAATGTGCATCTAGAAAATAAATGGTCTTAGGGAAATTATAGAGCTTTTCACGCTGCATATTATGGCATATTTTGGTTGTTAATACAACTAATAAGGAATTGAAAACTGCGACGTACAACTTACAACGAGCAAACATGTTAACGAAAAAAGTCTTATCAAAAATTTATTATCGCGATATTAGTTAAAGTATGATCAAATAACATAGAAAAATAGAGCTTTCTTTTCTCTATCAGCCTGTATAGAAAAAAAGTTTCTCAGAGCTTTCTATAAGGAATTGATATATCTCCGCAAGTACTTTTGGACTGACCTAAGTATGACACGAAAAGGAGAGCAGAATGATGTCGAATCTTACTTCAAATCGTATAATTATTT